GACTTCAGGCTTAACAGAGGGGAAGGAACATGGACGTGAAAGAGTCGAGATGGGGGGGGGGACAGAAGAGTGTTTCAAAGTCGAAGGTAGAAAAGGTAGGAAAAAGGTGAGGTGAGTACTGTAAAAGTTGTCGAATATGACATAGAGTGAGGTGATGATAGTTTGAAGTGAAAAGTCAACTGCCGGTTTATAGACTTTTTTGCCTTTAGATCACTTTAGATCAGCGTGTTCTTAAATTCACTGAAGTCAATAATTGTGTTTCGATAAACGCGATTGTTTACAGTAAACATAACTTAATGTGGTATTTTTAAATTATGTGACTTCCTTCAATCAATTTTATATACGATAATGCCTTTACGTTATCAATAGCCTAAATAATACTGTTAGAACGCATTTCTTTCTTATTAACCATAGTTCATGTGAAGAATTTGAATAGGTTGCAATGCAAACATTCCAGTTTAAGATAATTACGAAAGAAAAGACGAAACTCTGTGCTTTGGTCATGCGTGTTGGCTAATGTTAACATTGGGCGGATTTTATCAATTCTAAAGCCAGTATTTTATTTCTATTAACAAGTCATTGTTGAATTAAGTCTGTGAAAATAAATAATTAAGTTAATGATTTTCTCATCGATATTCACACGTTGTTCTATTTATGCTGGCAAGCATTGTATATATGGAGTGAATTATTTAATCTAAATGTCTCAAAATTTTCTTTGAATTAGATGTAAACATCGAAACGATTTAATAAGGTCACTATAAATTATTATTTCAAAATATAACTACTTTTCTAGTTAGAGCAGCAATTAAGTGCTATTTCAGTTCCATTTTGACCCTCTAAATGAATTACTAAACATATCAACTTTAAAACAAATGCGTTCTAATTAATTCTTCGACTTCGTTATTATTTATCTATATTTATTTCACATGGCAGGCGTTATGATAGGTATCATTAGCCCTTTAGTTGACTTCGTGCTTCACAGAAAGGAAGAGGAACACCAAATCGGCAAAAAGTCGAGATGGGGGGGGACAGAATAATGATTCACAGACGTAAAAGAGACAAACAGACACAAAGGTAGAAAAAAGGTGAGTACTGTGGAATTAGTAGAATATGAAATGCGGTGGGGTCTTGGTAGTTTGAAGTCAGAAGTCAACTGCCGATTAATAAACTTTTTGCTGTATGAGTATACGTTGCCCAGGGTGCACCACGTGGAGGTAAGTCTATCGCACACCCCTTTCGTTATTATTATAAAGTGTAATAAACACCTCACCTTGATCAATAGCATAACGCTTTTTTCAATCTTGAAAATATTTCCAACTTTAATGTTTTGCAAAAAATGTGGTGCTTTAGCTCACAACTAAGTCATCTCGTATGAGAAAAATAACGATACACAAATTAAAGTGTACTTCAGCACATGTGCCTTTGCTGCGGTAACATACAACTCAAATATCAATTCGAAAAAACAGAGTTTGTCGTGGAGCATAGACAAACAATTCTCTTAGAAAAAACCATAATAGAAAAACGGAACCTAATTTTGAAGTGAATCGCACATCTCACTTTCAGGAAAGTGATATTCCGATTTTCAAGAGGAGGATAAAGAAGGCACAGAAACCAGTGGAGCACTTCATGGAATTTAAGTGTGACCTTGAGATATACAAACAGATAACAATAAATAAGTGCAGGATTCCTGAGAAATATTGCAAACACAGGTAATCGAAGTGGAACTTTCTCATATACAAGTTGTAGTTTCTCCTAAATACCTTCTCATTTAAGCTATAACTTCATAGTAGAACTAAGTCTTCGGGTTTGTATGAAGTCATTTTTCAATCTTCAGAGGAGCATTCAGACTATTCTTCCAGTTTGTAAACCCACCGGAAAATTCCCACAAAGTTTTGATTTGATGTCCTTCAGAGGTCCAGAAGAACATTTTTCAACGCTTCTGTTTTTACTCACTCCTATCACCCTTGCATAATTCTTATTTGAGAGCATTAAGAACATTCGGGATTCACCATTGATTTCAAAGGAATACTTTCTTTCTTCACTTTCTTACAATCATACAATTTCAGGTTAGTAGAGTAAAAAGGTAGATTGATACCTCAACTAAGTGGTATATAATATTTACCATGATTTGCCAATATATGATCAGCACTTTTGTTCATGTATTTTAATCGATTTAAATTTTACCACGCTCAAAATAACAGTTATCTATTCAATGCAGTCCAAATGCACGAAAAGCACTCATTGAAAATCGAATTTTGGTTTTCTTCTTAGAATCGTCAAAATACATTGATATAACCAATTGAATCTCTTTTATGATTCCAATAGTTGTAAACTATGACTGTGTAACAGAAAATGAAACATATCCGAGAGTTAAACCTTGATTTGTTCCAAATTTCCTTGTTGTATCAATCTTACAAGTTGGCTACATTGAAAAAATGTTTTTTGAAGAAAAATCGAAACTTTCATTATAATTCAGTTGTAGGATGCTGTCAGAGTGACAAAAGCTGGTTCGAAAGCCTCACCTTTGCGTCTACTTAAATTTCATGCGTTTTATTCAATGTTTTTAACTGGCTTTATTCAACCATTTGTTTTCCTCGTCAAATCGAATGTCCATGTCATTAATCACTTTAGAAGGTAAAATTCATAATTATCATCCAATTTATCAACTTAATAATAATGAATATGGTTCACACACACCAAGTTGCCATAAAAATCTATCTGCATGTATATCGATCTGTTATTGCAAGAAGTTCTATGTTAAAATTGTAGTTTCACTCGTGTTAAGATGATTCAACTCAAAATAAGTTAAATTACCTCTTCCCAGCAAAGTCAAGTTTTGAGACTATTTAAAAGTCACTCGTTTTGATGACAAAATCATTTTAAAATTTTGGGTCAGACTTGAAAAAAATACTATTTTGATCTAACAAGGAATACTAAGATGATTGCCAAGTTGTTCATTTACTCTGAATAATTTTTAAAAAATGCCCCAATCGCACTCACTCCTGCCTTACAGCGGACTGATTCCGAAGTGATGAGTTTTGGGGCTATCAGACGGGAATAAAGTCTTCAATTAAGAGTCTAGTACCAATGGAATTTATTTTGAAAGAGGAACGTGTGGTCCTAAGGATGTTAAAGTGTTGTTACTCCGCATAGATGGTGAGGTAGGTTTAAGGTCTCTCATAATACATTCTTTCCGGAAATGTTTATGGAGGCTCTATTCGCCTTCGAGAATCTTCGGGTAAGCAAACACTTCGATTGTGATTCCTATTCTCGGTGAAATTACATTCACAAAGTCAAAATTGATGTATGTGAACATTGAAAGAGTTTGACAGCTCTCTACTTCTTTCAGAGCGAATGATTCAGTTGGTAATTTTGATGAAATTCGTGAGAAATTGGTTCAAGCCAACATGCTGACCGAAAGGGCCAATGCACTCCTCAATGAATGTCGTAGCAACGTGAGGTACTGTGTATCCCTTCAAGTGCCCATCCAATGTCTTAACCAAGCCAAACGGGTTCGTAAATAAAGTTACAGTTTATTTATATGCAATTTGGTACGTTCTTGACTCATCCAGTCCCTGAAAAGTTAACAAAATAATCAATAAAAGAATGCGTTAGAGATAACTGGAAATCATTTTTTTCTAGATTTGAGTCAACGGAAAAGAGTTACTAAGCTCCAGTGGCTAAATTCGCTTATCAGTAACCCCGTAAACTGGGTCGAACTTGTTTCATATAATAATAATTTAAGATTTATTTATATCAAATGACAGTTCTCATTAGCCCGTTAGTTGACTTCAGGCCCCACAGAGAGGGGAGGGAGGAACATCAAAGTCACAAAAAGTTGAAGAGGGGAATAGGAGAGTAATTCAAAGGTGTAAAAGAGGCAGGCACAAAGGATGGAGCAAAAGGTGAGATGAGTACTGTGGAAGTGGTGGATATGACATACAGTCGGATTATGGTAATTTGAAGTGAGAAGTCAACTGTCAGTTTATAGACTTTTTTGCCATATGACTTTACATTTTCCAGAATGCACTACGTGGAGGTAAGTCTATCACACATCTCATAAATAAATAGCTTGGACCCTAATAGGTTGAATTTAGATACTTTGAACAAGTTGACAAGTGGCTTGAAGGAACAATTAGTTTATGTCACAACAAGAGTAGAGAATGCGTGCCACGTCTCCATTCCGAGCAATTTCATGATTTTAGCTTTGAGAATTCTTATTGATCGGGTTTCCCGACCTACCTATTGTAGGATACAGAAAGCTTGCCAAGATTTAATCATCTTGAACAAGCTGATTAAATATGGCGGGTTGAGTTATGAGATTCAAGTGAGCATCGTATAGACGTGGAAAAACATTGCATACAAGAACCAGGTCAAATGGGAAAATGTATGATCAGCAGGAAGCAAGATCATGTATACCTGAAATATGTAGTAATATCATAAAAGTGATAAGTGCCATAAGAAATTAGTTGAAAGCTAGATACTTTGAAGGGAAACTACGAGGTGTTTATAGCCAACCAATGTACACAAATAATGTGAAATTTTCATTTTGTGGATCTCAATTTTTTAAATATTTTCGTCTCACTTTGCAGGCTACTGAAGATGCCTTTTCCATATTTCAGAAAAGTCAGAGAATTCAATGTGAGCCAGTTATTGAAGTTCGGCGGGGAAATGTTAGAGAGCGATCAATAAGTCTGGCTCGAATGCAGTCCACTCTCAGGGAATTAGAGGCTACTCGTGATGACCCCGAGAGTAATCCACTTGCTGTAACTTCGACAACTTCAGTCTTCAATGAATTGAAGGTAAAATTGATACCAAAACATTCGTACAAAATTGGCTTTCGTATATATATATATATATATATATATATATATATAT